GTATTTCCATTCATACTGCTTTATGTAAGAAAATTTATTTATGATTCTTCTTCTCTTCAAGATTGGTACAAGAGCGGAAAAGCAAAAATCTCGGCCATTGGATCTTCCGAAGGGTGTTTAATATGGTTTTGTATAGCGATTGGGGTTGCTTTTCAACTAATTCGCTTCCTCCTTCCATTCTTAACTCTGGTTCAACTTCTACCTGCAATCAAAACAATTTGTGAAACTTACCAAAGCCGCCAATCAAAATCACAACTTTGATATGACATACAACTTAGTGTGTATAAAGGATCATACTATGTCATTCTTGCTTGTCAAAAAAAAATGTCATTTTCGTTATTTATATATTTATAAGAACTTATTTAGGTCATGTTTGGATCGAAGGAATTGACTTGGATTTGAAGAATTTATTTCTAGCTAGAATCCGAACTTCGTAATTTGATTTCAATTCCATTGATTGTGAATTGTGAGTCAGTAAAAGTTCAATTCTAGAATGTTCAATTCAAATTCACTATTTTTGAAACTGACATTTTTAAGGGGGATGATTTGCAAACTTTAGATTTTAAGAAGCCTTTTGTAATTTAGATTTTTAAGGAGGTTGTTTTTCTATTTTCTGGATTTTAGGGGACTGTTTTTGTAATTTTTTTGGATTTTCAAGGGGTTTTTTTAATTTCAAACTTGAAGGGGTTCATCTAATTTTTTTTAACGTTGAAGGATGTTGGTTTGCAATTTTTGGATATTTGACGGTTGTTTTTGCAATTTTAGGCGCTCTTGTTGTAATTTTTGAATATTAAAGGTCTGATTTATAATTTTAAGATTCCTGAGGACAAGACAAGCTGAGAGAGTACGTAGATCGGAAGTCCGGTTTTTTTGTACGTAGATCGCGCCCGGGCGAAGCCAAAATTTATAAATCAATTTGTTAGAGGATTGAATAAATCCTCAAAACAGCACCTGGTAAAACATCATCTTCAACAATACCATTTATCTTTTCTATCTCTTCTTGAAACCAAAATTAAGGCTGATAAGGTTTCAGTTATTGCTAAGAAGCTTACTGGCAACTGGAAATGGATTTCTAATGCAAATAATAACACCAAAGCCAGAATTATATTGCTATGGGATCCTAATATTCTGGAAGTACAGATTGACAGTCTATCAGATCAACACATTACTTGCAAAATTAAGTCTATGGATGGGAGAATTGATTGCATAATTTCCTCTATATATGGTCAAAATCAATTAGGAAAATGAAGAGAATTATGGTTGAACCTCTCTCAAATTTGTCAGACAGTTGGTAATATGCCTTGGCTTTTGTGTGGGGATTTCAATGCAATAATTGGTAATGAAGAAAAATTAGGGGGGGACCATTCTTTCAGAGGCAGATACCAGAGAGTTCAGGGATTTCATTGAAGATTGTCATCTCTCTCATCTTAAAACTGAAGGCTGCTTCTACACATGGAGCAATAAGCAAGATTCTAATTTTAGAATCTGGAGTAGACTGGATAGAGCTCTGATTAATGATGCATGGATACATAAATATAACTCCAGTCATGTGGAATATCTGCTGCAGAATTTCTCAGACCACTCCCCTGGTTTGTTATCAATGTATGAAGATTATGTTCAAGGAAAAAAGCCTTTTAAATTCTTCAAGATGTGGACCAAGCACACAAATTTCCTACCTACTGTATCTAAAATCTGGCAAACAAAAATAAAGGGATATACTATGTTTTCAGTTTATTCAAAATTGAAGCTGCTGAAGAATGATTTGAAAGATTTAAACAAAAGGCATTTTAGCAACATCAGTGAGCAAGTTCTCAGAGCAAAACTGGCACTTGGTGATGCTCAAAGGAATCTGCATTCAGATCCTCTAAATCACTCTCTCATTGAACATGAAAGAAATTGTATCACCTCATACAATAAATTGTTGGATTGTGAGCTATCTTTTTATCAACAAAAAGCTAGGATTTTGTGGAGTGTGCAGGGAGACAGATGCACTAGCTACTTTCATTCTGTTATTAAATCAAAAAGGCACCTGAATAGGATATTGATGCTTTATAACAGTGCAGGGGAAAAGCTAACTGATGGAGAGAAGATTACTTCAGAGCTTATTTCTTTTTACAAGAGTCTTATGGGATCAACCACAGTTACAGCAAATGCAGACAGGAATATTATCAGCAATGGTCCCTGTTTGAATGCTACACAAGCAAATACTCTTTCAAAGCCAGTAACCAGAGAAGAGATCAAAGAAGCAGTATTCTCTATGTCTGAAAATAAAGCCCCAGGGCCAGATGGGTATAGTATGTCTTTTTTTCAAATAAGCTTGGGGTGTTGTAGGAGATGACATCTCACTGGCAATTGAGGATTTCTTCAAAACTGGTAAACTTTTGGGGGAAGTTAACTCTACAACTATCACATTGATCCCTAAAGTGCAATGTCCCAAAACTCCATCTGATTTTAGGCCTATAGCTTGCTGTAACTGCTTATATCATCTCAAAAATTTTGGCAAATAGAATCAGATCAGTGATGGGTTTCCTAGTAAATGAAGCTCAAAATGCTTTTGTGAAGGGGAGACAAATTTCAAGTAACATATTACTTTCTCATGAACTTGCTAAGAACTACAGCAGGAAACACATATCTCCAAGAGTCATGCTTAATATTGATATTAAAAAGGCATTTGATACCATTAACTGGGAATTCCTCAAGGAAATGCTTGCAGGCCTAGGGTTTCCTGATGCATATATAGGATGGATTATGGCCTGTATTACTTCCCCTAAGTATTCTATAGCCTTGAATGGATCCTTGCATGGTTATTTCAAAGGTAAAAGAGGTCTTAGACAAGGAGACCCCCTCTCCCCCTACCTCTTTATCCTAGGAATGGAGTATCTCTCAAGAAGATTGGACTTGTTAAAGGATGACATGAATTTCAAGTTTCATCCGAGATGCAGGAAGTTCAAAATAACTCACTTAACATTTGCGGATGATCTTCTCCTATTCTCTAAAGGTGACCTATATTCAGTGAATAAGCTTTATCAATGTTTCAGGGATTTTTGTGCAGTTTCTGGTCTAGAAGCAAATTCAAATAAGTGCTCAATCTTTTATGGTGGAGTTGAAGAATCAGTTAAAGCCTCTATTTTCAACTGCTTGGGGTTTTCAGAGGGGACAATGCCTATTAGATACCTTGGTGTTCCTCTCATATGCAAAAGGCTTTCATACACAGATTGTGCACCTCTATTCAGTAAAATTTCTGACCAATTTCAGTCTTGTATGAATTACAGAAATTTATCATATGCAGGAAGATTGCAAATAATCAAGAGCACCATATTAGGAGTACAAGTTTTCTGGACATCAAATTATATCCTGCCTATTAGAGTGCTCCAAAAAATTGATGAGTTGTGCAGGAATTTTTTATGGGGGAAATATCAATCTGCTAAAGGAATTCCTCTGGTCTCTTGGGAGAGGGTGTGTCTGGATAGGAAAAAAAGGAGGATTGGGGATATTTTCTGCCCCCATTTGGAACCTGGCCTCTGCTTTGAAGCTTCTCTGGCATATTCACATCAATAAAGAATGTTTATGGATAAGATGGGTCCATGGTACATATCTAAGGAATGGAAGTGTCTGGCATATACAAGCAAAGAAAGGGGACTCATGGATGTGGAAACAAATATTAAAAGCCAGAGATAAAGCTGTGGAATTCAGTGGTAGTGTTGATAACCTGAAACAGATGATTAAAAGCCATGGTATAACATGGTCTGGGGACTCATGGATGTGGAAACAAATATTAAAAGCCAGAGATAAAGCTGTGGAATTCAGTGGTAGTGTTGATAACCTAAAACAGATGATTAGCTCCTGTTCTTACAGCTCAAAAATCAAAATGGCTGAGTTATATCGTGCTCTCTCCCCTGCATCTAATTCAGTCCCATGGTATAACATGGTCTGGGGGGTTTATACTACCCAAAGCACTCTTTCATCTGCTGGTTGACTGTAAACAACAGATTGCTAACTCAAGACAGATTATTAAGAAGAGGGATTGTTAGTGCAAATCAATGTAGGTTGTGCACTGGTGTATGCTTAGAGAGCCGAAATCACCTATTCTTTGAATGCTCCTTCTAAAGGGAAGTGTGGAATCATATCATGGACTGGCTTCATTTCAAATGGAGATCATGTAGTTGGGACTCTCTCTTGGATTGGTATTGTACTAAGCGAAGAGGGAAAGGTATAAAACAAAAAATTAAGAGATCAGCATTATCAGCCACTATCTATCACCTTTGGTATGAGAGGAATATGAGGATCTTTCAGCTGAAGCATAAGACTGTGGAGATTTTGGTTAAGCAGATCAAAGTTGACACTCTGACAGTATGCATAAATTCTCCATATATAGCTGAAAATGAAACTGATTGGATTTGCTCATTGTAAATGTGTATAGCCTTAAGATGATCAGGTTTGTCTCCTATTAGTTTTCTCAAAAATCTGAGAATCGTGATGTATATAAATGTTCTTATTTGGGAAATGAATAAAGTTTTCATTGACCAAAAAAAAAAGAGTACGTAGATTGGAATCGAAAATGATACATTTTTTAGCGATCAATTCGTGGCGTATAATTCCCACCATAATTCTCTTCGTTTGGCAAAGAGTTAAGGAAGATGAGTTAAATAAAAGGATTAATGTATTTAACCCATTCGATAATCTGAAGGACTAAATTATTAACCTGTTAAATAAATTTTATTTTAGCCATTGTGATCAGTTTTAGTGTTTGGGAATAACAATGATTTTGACTATTTTTTTTATAATTAGAATGATTAACTCTTAATCCTTCTAAATAGGAGTATTAGTAAACCCCTCATTTTGAGGGGTTAACTTATTTTAATCCCTCTAGAGAGGTTAGTTTAACCCTTCTATATTTTTTTATGTTTGACAAATTATAGAGGGTTAACTCACTTTAACCATTGTATAGATTTTTTGTGTTTGGCGGGTTAAGAAGGGGTTAAGTCTCCTTAACCACTCACTTAACCCTTTGCTAAAGGGTACCATAGTTTCCTCCTCCTTTGACATTCCTATCAATAAATAATGATTTTGAATATTTGGAATTTAGAATATAGGATTTACTTAAAAGAGAATTCGGAACGAAGATTCAATCATTGAACTAACAGTAAGACTTACTTTTGAATCGAACTTGAGGCCAACTTTTAGCTCTCCCCCATAAGTGCGATCTTTGAGCACTATGTTGTAAGGAGCTGGTTTTAATTCCGTAATTCCCTTCCTCTCTCCTTCTCTTAAGATGCCTCTTAGATATATACTGCATGTTAATTTAGTTGTATTAATACAAAATATATCATAGGTGAAATTTAATTCAGTAGTGATCTTTCATAAGTGAGAAATTTAATCTATAGCGATTTTCGTAAGAAGGTTGTTGATAATTTTGGATTTAATGAATTTCAAGGACTTTGTTTTTAAGCAGAGCGGTAATTACGTAGCTTCACCAAGAGAGCAGTCTTCTAAAAGTTTGTCCTTTTCCATGACTTTCAATTTGATTTTGGTCACTGACTTCCATTCTGAATTTGTCAATTTGAATACAAACTTCTCATTCCACCAAGCTTTCTTGTCTTTCCCTGTATCAATAAAGAAACATCACCATATATAATGAAGAAATATGACATAAGTAATTACATTAGAGCATTTTCTAATTGCGAAGAAGGAACTAGGAATGTTTTCATGATCTGGTTTTATAATGTTAAATACTATATATGAAAATAATGAGAGAGCTTCAACCTGTTGTGCTTTTGCTAGTATGGATGTGGCTGCCACATTGAGTAATCACATATTGGCTTGATGATCCTGTAATGCCAAAAAAATAAAAAATAAAAAAGGTATAGTAATTAGATATACCAGAGTTTAAATTAGCTAGTTAATATACAGCCGTGATTGATATAAGTTTAGGACTAGACTTAAGAGCCGAGCATGTTTGAGGCCTTCAGCGTTCACAAGCAAAACTTCCAAAGCTCCACCTTTCATTAGATAACTCATACAAACACAGAGAGAGGAAGATCAAGAAACAATTTAGAAGATAACAAAGAATGCATATATAGAGAAATAAATGCATGGCAGTTTCAAGTGTGGTCATATATTCCGCCATTAATAAAGAATTAACAATATGAGTTTCAGAGTTAGCGGTAAATTGTACATATTCCAATGGATAATAAATAGGTTGGTAGATAATTTATCACATTTAAAGCCAATTTTTTAATTGGATATGTTAATCTATCACATAATGAAAATGCAATATTAACACCATAGTTATTTCTATTATTATCAATGAATATTTTAAAAGATTTCTTCTAATATTTAAGTAGATGGCCTCATCCTATAATATTCTATTTGATCCGGCCAATTTTATAGAATGGGGAAGGAAATGGAATAAGTAGTGTCGGAATTTCTCAAAAGTTGATCCAATCTAGCCATTTTCTTAAGGGCGAGTTTGGATTTCAATGGGGTTAAGGGAAGTTAAGGGAAGCTAGGTGAGAGAAGAGAAGGGAAGGTAAGGGAGTTCCCTTCTCCTTGGTTACACCCCAATTTGGGGGTAACAAATTTTATACTATTAAGGGGTGAACTATGGGGAGCTAGGGTAAATAACTTCACCTCTTAAGTATTCCCAAACAAGATAAATGGTTCCCCTAACTCCCCTTCTCCCTTATTCCCCTCAATCCAAACAAGCCCTAAGTTCGCTTCACTTTTACTTCATAGGATGATACTCTATAAAGTGGAGAAAGAGTGGTTTTTTTATGGAAACCAGCATCCACTCAAAATGAGAGCAATTGAGTTGGAATTCTTGACACCCCACTATAACACCTCATTTATTCTTATGTTCCCTATCTATATTTTTTTTACAAATGAATTAACGACGAGTATAAATAATAGTGCATTCCATCAACTTCTGATTTTTATAAAAAAAATACTGTGGGAAAGGCATGGAAAAGCTATTTTTAGTATCCTATTCCTATTCTTTTTTTATTTTTTTATTAGAGAATGAGCCAAACCAAACTGCCGCTAAATCAGCATAAAAAACATCCTAACACCAACAAAAACCCTTGTCAAATAAATAAATAAATAAATAATTGGGTCGGGTTTAGATTTGACGGGCATATACCAACTCAATCAACACGCCCTTAGAGCAAGGGCAGCAAGCTCTGAAGGAGGCTCTCAAGGCTGACGTGGCCGTGGAAGTTGCCAACCCCCCCTCCCCCTCC